CCGCCCCGTCGGGGAAGCGGAGCAGCGGCTGGGGGGCGCGGGAGGGGCCGGGGGCCGCGCTCATCCTGCCCGGCTCCCCCGGGCCCGCCGCCGCCCCGGCTTTTATCCCCCCGGGTCCCCCCCGCCGGGCTGGGACCGCCCCGAGCGGGCGGTGCTGTCCCCCCCCAGCCCTTCCCAAGGGCTCCCGGGGCCGATCCCAGCTCCGCGCCCCCGATGGCAGAACCCCGACTGACCCCCCAGCATCCCCGGGGACCCGTACCCCCGCCAGCTGCTCGTACAGCTCTCCCCGCGCCGCCGTCGGGGCACGGCGGGGCCCGTGAGGCTCCCAGGGCTCGGGGACCCCCCTGCCACCGGCCCCCTGCGCTCCCTCCCCGGCCTCCCCCGCTCGCCCCCCGCCGTGCGACCGCCGCTCTCCCGCAGGGCTGGCACCGGTCAATGTTTAACCGGAGCGGTGGTACCGGTTGTGCGGGGCAGCCGGGGCCGGCTGGGGGTGGCTCCCGCCGGGACCGGCCGGGCGCTGCGGGCACCCCGAGCGCCGGGTGCTGGGGGCCGCATGGAACCACAGGGGGAGCGGGGCGGGGACCCCCAGCCGGACCCCCGGCCCAGAGCGCTCCCACGGGGCCAGGACAGACCGTAAGTTGTCGGGGAGACGGAAGAGACAGAGGCCACCCCGTCCTGGAGCAGCAGGACTTGGGCAGTGACTGCCCGGCTGATACAGACAGCGGGGGGTGGCATCCCAAAAAGGCTGGGGGGAGACAACACTGTCCTTCTGTGGCGACATGGCGGGGACAGTGAGCTCTGTCCCCTGCCAGGCCCCAGGGCACAGTGGAGGTGGGAGCACGCTGCGAGCACAGCACGACCGGGGGTCCCTCTACCCCGGTGCCCGCGGTGCCCGCGGGCAGAACCCCCCAGCTGGGGGGCACCCACCACCCTGCTGCCCTCTGTTCCCCAAAGGAGCCCTGGAGAGGAGCGGGGGGGACCCGTGGAGGGCAGAGAGACGCGTCTGAGAGTGGTGCTCAGGTAAGGGGAGACGGAAGGGCTCAGGGCCGCGGCAGGAACCTCCCTGCCTGGGGCGAGCTCACAGCAGGGCTCCCCAGGGTCCCCGTGCAGCGACACCTCTGTGTCCCCGTCCACACCCCGCCCTTAGGGTCCGGCCACTGACCTGCACGGAGACGCGGCGAGGTGACCAGCAAGTCGTGCACAGCCTCGGTGACGGCGCCGTCCACGTAAGTGCCACCTCCCCGTGGGGGTGCCGGGCTCGGGGAGGGCTGCGGCACCCCCTGAGCCGCCGCTGTCCCCTCGGCCAGGTCAGCGCGGCCAGGCACGATGCCACCTTTGGCTTCAGCGCCGTGTTCGACGCCGGCGCCTCGCAGGAGGCTGTGTTCGAGGGCAGCGGGATGAGGCAGTTGGTGGAGCTGGCCATCGACGGGTGGGTCCCGGAGAGCCCCCCGGGGACCCCAACCCTCCACCCACCCCACGCCGCGCCTTTCCGGCGCGTGTGCGCTGCCCGGGCTGTGTCGGGAGGTGGCATCGCTGTGCCACCGCCTGCGGCCGTGCCTGACGCTCAGCATCTCCTACAGCTTCTCCTGCACCGTCTTTGCCTTCGGGCAGACCGGCTCGGGGAAGACCTACACCCTGATGGGACCCCTCGGCCAGGTACAACTCTGACATCTGACCTGATCCTGGTGGTGGGACGAGCCCTTCCCACCCGGGGCTGGGCTCTGGAGCGGGCGGGTGCCCGATGTGACCGCTCACCATCCTGGCATCTCTGCAGAGCGACACGCAGCCGGCGTCCCCTGCCCTGCTGGGGCTGATGCAGAGGTCCTTCACCTGCCTCCTGGAGCAGAGCAGGAGCCGTGGCTCTGACCTGGCTCTCAGCGCTTCCTACCTGGAGATCTACAACGAACAGGTGAGTGCCTGCCCAGCCGGCACCCTGTGCCCTGCTCTCCCGGTGCCTTCCTGTTATATTTCTTTTTCTTGGGCCAGGTCTCATAAGCTCTCAAAAGAAATATAATACACCCAACGATAGCTCAGCTATTATTTTGGGGGCATAAAGTAAGCAGGATGACTTCTGCTGCAGGTTTAATAGGTTTAATAAAAGGCAAAATAACAAACGGAAAAACTCGAGCCAGGTGCAGAGGTCTGCTCCTGGTAAAAACACCTCACAAAAGCCCTTAGCTCTTTTGTTCTCTTCTTTTTCTACCTGATGGGTCAGGCGGGACTTTTTGGCTTCTATCCAATTAGCTGTCTTCAAATTTTTGGTGAAGTCCCTATGAGGTGGATTTTTCACCTAATCATTGAGAGAAACGTCTGGGCTTCTTTCCTTTTTTGGGGGACAAAGGCTAGTTTTGCCACTCTGTCATTAGGGGGCACACTCTTACACCTTCCCTCTGCCGTATCCCAGGTCCGGGACCTGCTGAGCCCGGGACCACCGTGCGCCCTGCCCCTGCGCTGGAGCAAAACCCGCGGCTTCTACGTGGAGAACCAGCTCAGCGTGGAATTCGAGAGCCTGGAGGCCATCGTCAGCCTGCTGCTGCAAGGTGCTGAGCCACAGGCACGGGGCTGGGACATGTTCAGGGCGTGCTAGACCCGGTGTGGGGGGATTCAGCCCCCCACAGGCTGTCCCCAGGGCTGGTGGCACTGTGATGGCAGCCAAGAGGAGCGGCTCTCCGTACAGCTGCAGAGCCAAGGCAGCAGCGGCTGCTGGGCAGTGGGTGCTGTGGGGTTGGGGCAGGGATGTGGGGTGTCATGCTGTCAGTTCCTCCCCCGGCAGGATCCCAGAGGCGCCGGACCTCGGCACACGCCCTGAACAGGCACTCGAGCCGCAGCCACGCCCTTCTGACCATCCACGTCCGCAGCCGAGCCGTGAGCGAGCATCCTGCTCCTGGGCAGGGCTGGGGGGCTCAGGGCTCAGCGCGGGGGGGCAAACAGCCCCACGGTGGGGGGGTCACGCTCTCCTCAAGGATACCTGGGTGGGGCTGGAGTGGGCAGCCGGGAATCCTATCCAAGATCCAGGAGTCGGGACAGTGCTGTGGGACGTGGGGAAGGGGTGATGGGGGCCAAAGCATCACCCCCCAACGTGGTTCTCCAGGCCAGCGCCTGCCCCAGCAAGCAGGGCACGCTGTGCTTCGTGGACCTGGCTGGCAGTGAGAGGGTGAAGGAGACTGGCTCCAGCGGGGAGCTCTCCGTGGAGGCCAACAGCATCAACCGCAGCCTCCTGGCGCTGGGTAAGGGCTGGGAAACCCACCCGCCCTGGGAGCCCCCTGCTGGCCCCCACCAGAGCTTTGTCACTGTCCTCATCCTCCGGCAGGACACTGCATCTCCCTGTTGGCCAAACCCCGAGGGAAGCGGACGCACATCCCCTACCGGGACAGCAAGCTCACCCGGCTGCTGGCTCGCTCCCTGGGCGGCTCGGGCATCACCCTGATGGTAACACCATGGAGGAGGCCGGGCAGGGGTCTCACCCTGTGGATGGGAGGGCTGGAAAAGGATGGTGACCCTCTGGATGACAGTCCAGCAGCATGTCTTCCTCGTTGGCAGGTCGCCTGCATCTCCCCATCCTCACGCTGCCTCTCAGAGACCCTGAGCACGCTGCACTACGCCAGCCGTGCCCGGAAGGTCACCACCAGACCCCTGGCCAACAGGGTATGACAGACAGGAACCCCCTCTGAGCTCTTGTCCCCACTGCTGGGACCTGCCCGGACCCACCCCTTTATCCACCCACCCGTCCCAGGTGTCCCGGGAGAAGCTGCTGCAAACCTTGGAGCGAGAAATCCACGCCCTGCAGCTGGAAAACCTCTCCCTGCGGCAGCAGCTGTGCCTGCCCAGAGTGCCCGTGAGGAGCACGGAGGTCTCAGGGAACCCTCCAAAAGCATGGGCAGGCTCGGGAGACAGGTACGGCCCTGCAGGGCAGCTCCCACCAGAGGGAACCCCAGCCTGGCCCAGCCTCTACGGTCTCCTGCGGGACTTCGTGGTGGAGAACGAGCAGATGAGGTATGGGAGGCTTGTGTGGGACCCCTGAATAGGGGATCAAGGGTCTGCCAGGGCAGCCAGAGCCCCTGGCTGGCAGCACCCTGCACCAACCAGCCTCCCTCAGGGACTCCCCAGGGCTGGGCAGGGCTCTCTGGAGGCTGCCAATGCCCTGCTGGGCTTCCTCACTGCTCCCCAGGCAGCCCCGTCTGTCCCCACACCTCCCGGCTGGGCCATCCCACAGAGCCACCCGCAGCTCCTGTGCCAGCCAGCCCCTGCTGCAGAGTGCCTGCACCCTCCACGTCCCCCCCAGGTGCTCGGAGAGGCACCGGCGGCCCGACACCACACCCAGCTCTGTGCCCCGGCTGCCGGTGAGAGGGGGCTCTGCATGCTGCCCACGGCAGGGTGAGCGTGCACACACCACCCACCCACTGCTGTCCTCTCTTGCAGAGGCTCCCTCCTGCCTCCAGCCGCCCCGGCTGCCCAGGGTGCTCACAGTGCTGCCCTGGGCCAGCTGATGCCACCATGTTCCAGGTACAGCCCCAGGGGTCTCTTTGGAGGGTGGCACAGGGGTGACACAGCCACCTTGACTGCTCTGCTCACCCCCAGGTGCTGCCAGTGCCCGCTGTGGCACAGCCAGTCCCCGCTGAGGGAAGTGCTGGACAGGAGGACACGGCTGTGCCTGGCTCCCATCACCCCCACGGGCACCCCCAGCCGCACCAGAGGCAGCGGTGAGAGCCACTCCTTGGGCATCAGCTGCAGCTCAGGAATTCCTTGGAGTTTCAGGGTGTGGTGGGGCAGTAGGTGAGGGCTGGTTTGTGTGTCCTCTTGGCAGGAGTCGTGGCAGGAGCAGGAGCTTGTCTCAGCAGCACCCGCTGCAGCGGGAGCTGCCAGGCCCCGAGCGCGTCCCCAGCCCCGAGGCAAGGGTCATCCCTTCAGCACCACCGTGGCCAGGGCTGCCAGAGCCCAGAGGTGAGCAGGGCAGTGCTGGGAGACCAGGCAGGGCCTTGATGGGCACCCATCCCTGCACAGCCTCTCACACCAGGGGCTGGGCACTGATCCTGGGGAGATGGAGACCTGACCCTGCTGCTCCCCGCTGGCAGCTGCTGGCACCGTCCCTCTCCTCCAGTGGGAAGAGGCACTGGACTGGCTGGCAGAGCAGATCTGAGCTGCCACAGGCACGCCAAGGATGGGGCCAGCATCAGGGATCTGGCACAGCCTGGGGGGGACAACCACAGCCCTCAGGGACATGGGACCTTGGACTGCAAGGACTGCACAAACCATGGCACGGACGGTTGGATGGATGGACAGACAGAGCTCTCCAGCCTGCAAGGCCCTCACAGTTTATTTCTGTCTAGCTGGGGCTGTGCTGCTGGTGGCTCCAGGGATCCCGTCAGGTGCTCTCCGTGGGCTGGGGGCAGTCCAGCCAGTACTGGGCGATGGAGCGGGGGTAGCGCGGCCGCACCAGGTCCACGCGCTTGGTGCGCAGGTTGACACGGTAGTACTTGTCTGGGGAAGGGGACACGGCCGTCAGGACTGTCCCCAGCTCTGGGGAGCTGCCAGCCCTCACTGCCAGCACCTTCCCACTGCATCCCAAAGCCCTGAGCCATTGCAGAGAGAGAGGAGCCCTCCCCACGCCCCGGCAGCCCTGGTCCCGCATCATTCCCGGATCCTGCCAGACCAGACTCACCTCCTACAAAGAAATAAACACTCTGGAGCATCTCACACGTGGAGCCCGACAGCCCATCGCTTTCAACACCTGCTGAGTCGGGGTCATTTTGCAGCCAGCTCCAGAATCCCAGGTTCAGTGACCGGTGGTGGTTGTACCTCTTGCGCTGGCGGCGAGACTTCCTCCTGCGGGGCTGCTGGGAGGCCACGTAGATCCTGCCGGCCATGGCAGCGTCCAGCCGGCTGGGCACGCCCCGCCAGTCCCGGCTGATGTACCACGGGCCGTTTGCCCCAGCTGCAAAAGGAGCAGAGGGTGAGTGAGAGGGGTGAGCTGAGCCCACGCCCACAGGCAGCACCCAGCAGCTGCTCCGAGACCCGCAGGAATGCTCCGAGGGATCCCAGCCTGGATGGGATGTGTGACAGTGACACAGGCCAGGCTGAACCAGGAGTGGCCCCCCCATGGCTGGGATCTACTGAGATCCCTTCTCCTCCTCTCTGTCTTTCATTTCCCCTGCCCAGGGCTGGGTTTTTGCTGTGGCATCTCCATCTCCAGTGACAATAAACAGTCCCCAGCAGTGACACCGTGGTGTGAGGCAGCTGGTGGTGGGTTTGGTAATGGGGGACATAACGGCTGTGAGGGTGGGATTTGGGATGCTGTGGGAGGTGCATCTGAGGCCTGGGGGGTTCCTGTGCATGGCCTGGGCAGGATGTGATGGCTCATCCTGCCCACCCTTGCTTCCAGGCATCGCTCCCTCCTCCCTGGGTGTCTGATGCCTTGTGCCCTGTCAGTGCCCGCTGTTGGGAACTGCCAGCCCTTCCCCCCGGGGCTGGCCCAGCCCTTACGCATCCTGCCGCCAAAGAGGAGCTGGAAAACATCCTCCCAGCTGTCCCTGTTCATGAAGGCGTAGTGCTTGAACACCGTGGAGGGGGAGGACTTCTCGCAGTCGGCCTGCGTGGGCTGCTGGGCGAAGTCGTAGGACCAGTAGTACTTGTCTAGGAGAGGATGAGCAGCGTGTTAGCAGGGAACAAGCACTGAAGGGGTATCCAGCCTGTGCCCAGCAGTGCCAGGCTGTGCCAGGAGCAGGCGGCTGCCCCCCTTACCCTTGAAGAAATAGACTCTCTCATTGCCGTGGTAGCTGTGGGCGGGCAGGGCGAACGCTGCGTCCACGTTGTCGGGGATGCCCTCAAAGCCCTCGGAGATGTCCCGTGGGTACCCAGGGTCCAGGGCTCCGTCATCAAAGCGCCAGTACTGGGTGCCCTGGGGGGTGGGGGACAGAGAGGGGTCACAGGTGCAACATCCCCCAGCCACAGGTCTGCCAGGAGGAGCGAGGGGATGTTGGGGACCCCCATCACGGGGCTGTGGTTGCTTGTGGTTCCAAAACAACCACAGGGATTTGGGGTTTGTGGCAACCACTGTGTGTGTGGGTGTTTGGGAGGTGCCAGAAGGGGATATAGGGTGGGTTGTGGGGTTGTGCTGGCCACCCTGGGAGTACCCCCAGCCCTTCAGCCCACCTTGAAGAGGTAAGTCTTGCCCTGGCAGTTGATGCGTGTGAAGGCTGCATCGATGGGGCCCTCGATGCCCCAGACGTCACTGATGAGCTTGGGGTAGCCAGGCCTCACACTGGTCTTGTCCAGCTCATAGAAGTACTTCCCTGGGGAGAGAGGAGAGGTAGGGGCAGCAGGAGGGACTGCAGACACCAGCAGAGGGTGACAGCATGGCAGCATGTCCCACGTGCCTGGGGAAGGTCCCCAAAGTACCTCGGAAAGCGTAAAGGGAACCGTTCTTCAGGTCGGTGAAGGCATCAAAAGGCTTCCCGCTGCACAGCTCCTCAGGCTCCTCAGACACCCCTGGGGTGGTGTTGGGCACCTCTGGCAGTGTCTCCTCGGGGTTTGGCTTGCTCTCTGGTGTGGTCTCCACCAGCACTGGGTCTGTGGGCGGGTCTGTGGGCAGCTCTGTGGGGTCTGCCACGGGCGCCTCGTCCGTGACAAGCTCGACAGGGAGGTTGTAGTCCAGGTAGTCATCCTCTGGCTGGGCAAAGACGTCTCCCCGGGTCACTGCAGGAGGGAGCAGGTTGGTTCCCCCTGGGTTTGGGTGCAGGAGATGCTCCCTCCCAAGAAATACAGATTTATAGAATCATGGAGTCGTTAAGGTTGGAAAAGCCCTCTAAGATCATCAAGTCCAATTTAACCCGGCACTGCCAACCACATCTCCAAGTGCCACAAGTACACATATTTTAGAGCACTTCCATGGATGGTGATTCCACCTGGGCAGCCTACTCCAATGCCTGAAACCCTTTCAGTGGAGCCCTAACCAATCTATCCAATTAGCACAGATCCCAGGCTCCAGATGGTGATGAGCCAGCTCTCAAAACCCCCCTGTGCTGCAGCAAATCCTGGTGCTGACTTCAGCCCTCAGCCACAGGTGGGTGCAGAGCTGGCCCAGCACAGACCCCACAGTGTGGAGCACCCAAAGCCACCCCGTTCCCCCTGTGCCCTGGCCAGGAGGGTGGCCATGGGGACAGTACCTTTGGCTTTGCAGACGGTGGAGTAGTCGCTGCAGCAGCTCTGGTAGTACACACAGAGGGTGTCACACTGGCACTTGTGCCCTGCATCGAAGCCTTCCTCACAGCGGCCCTCGCAGGAGTCTGCAAAAGCCACCCCACAGCTCAGGAGGGAGAATGTGGAGAGGGGCAGTGGGGCCCATGCCTCTCCTCCAGCCCAGCCCCATGGGAGAAAACAACCTTGGGGATGTCCTGGTTGGGGGTACCCCACCCCTTCATGGTCAACTCCATCCCCAGGGGTACAGCAGCTCCTTGCCCTGCTCCCACTCAGGTCCTGCTGGGGTGGGAGCCACAGACTGGGCTGTGCCATGCTCCCAGTTCCATGCTGGCATGTGTGGGGCAGGGATTTGCCACGGCACCACTGACACCCATGTGCTGCCCACTTGCTTTCTCCCCATCCTGCAGGGTACAGCCAACGTGGCCATGGCCACATCCACTCCCTCCCTCCCCACCCTGCGCAGCCCCTCCATCAGCCCAGGAACCTCTCTTTCTCCATCCCCAAAGCACCTGGCAAGGTGTTGGCTGGCTAAAGCTCACCTTCTGCAGCACGGGTGGCGGCCAGCAGGGCCAGCACGAGGGCAGGGACGAGCAGCCTCATGCTGGGTGTCCGGGAGCGCAGCCCTCCTGCGACTGTGCGGGCTGGAGCACGGCAGAGCCCCAGCACCCAGTGTTTGCTCAGCCTGCCCCCGGGGAAAGCAAACAGCCCAAGGTCGGAACAGGGGACTGGGACAGAGATGATCTCCCACCCAGCTTCCCGCACAGCCCACGCTGAACTGGGAATGTCTGCAGGGGGACAGGGCTGCCACCAGGGTAAGCAGCTCCTCCCCAGCCCCGGTGCAGGTTGGGCACTGGTCAGAGGGAGTGGGGAGGAACAGCAGAAAGACAGAGCCAGAAACCAGTTTTGAGGTCGTGCCACACTCATTTCATAACATCCCTCATGCTGTAAAAGCAACCAGCTGTTTCCCAGCCTGGTTTTGGCAAAGCCAAAAACCCAAATGAGACTGGATGGGGGAGCTATGCTCAAAAGACAAAGGGAAAAGCCCCGGGTTTATGTTTGGCCAAAATATCACCATTTTGGAGGGCTTATTCTTGGGATTTCAGCTTTCTCAATGTCACGGCTGGGAACAGACCTGGGGAGCCCCACGGCAGGGTGGCTTGGGATGGGGCAGGTGCCACCTCAGTGCCTGGGGACCAGAGGCCAGAGGTGAGTGGCCAGGGGCAGGAGCCCTCAGCACTTTCACTGCAGAAGGCAAACAAAAGCCTGTGTATTTTGCTCCCGTCATTCCCTTTCCAACCAATCTTTCAGTTACTAATTAATGTCGACTCAGCTCTTTTGGCAGCTCCTGATAACTCTGGGATGTTTATTGAATCGGGGCAAGGAGCAAATGCACACGAGGCTGCAGCAATCCTGCTCTTCTGCCTCTGCTGGGACAGGAGCTCCAAGGGATCTGTCCCAGCCCTGGGGCAGGAGTGGTGCAGTGTTGGGCCTTAAGTGATGCAAGATTTGGGGGGAGAGAAACTGGGGCAGGGTGCCTGCTTCTCCAGGGGTCTTTCAGACACAGGCAGTTCCTGGCATCTTGCTGGAAAGAGCTTTATTTGGTTTTGAGACAGGCATTTCCACCTGGAAGCCCTGGGGGGCTGAGGGCAGCTACCAGACATCAGCTTTTGGGACAGAACTTCTGCAGCACTCACCCCACTCCTTGTCCCCTGGCCTCAGCTATGGCAGGGCTGGCATTGTCCCCAAGTGCTGCACCAGGGCTTCATCCCCTCCCTGTTGAACCAGCCCTGGGGGGCAGCAGCCCTGCGAGGGTTCAGGCTTGGGGGAGAAGGGCTGGGCATTGTCTGAGCTGCTTTGGCTGATCAGCTAAGACAAAGCTCCCTCCTGCTGCTCCAGGCTCCCAACCACCAGCCACAGAGCCATGAAGGCTCAGCGAGCCCTTCCCTGCCAGGAGCAGATCCCAGGAGGGGTTGGTTGGATGAAGGGGCCCCGGGGAGCTCCTGCAGCCAAGGGCCGAGCACAGCCAGTGAGGAGAACCCTGGAAATGGGGCTGATCCCCCAGGGCAAGGCTGGGAACCGCTGCAGCTCC